CAACCAATCTCTTATGTATACCACAATGCCCTCTTTTTTTTCTGATTTGTCAAAGCCCAATACATTTTACCCAAATTAGGGGATTTTTAAAATCTACCTGATTCTCTGGGATATGAACTTCTTGCATGCATATAATATCTGCATTTTGCTTCTTAAGTTTTTCAAGTGTCTGCTTTCTTTTTGATGGTAAGTTTAAGCCATTTATATGACAGTAGGGTGGTTTCTTTGTCCATGTTACTGCTTGTATAGAATGGTTCTTGTCTCGTTTCTTGTTCTTGGTTCTCTTCTAGGTCTATTGTCACCTTCTTCCTCTCTGCTCTGGTCGTCTAGTTGCCATTCTGTTTCTTTCTCTTCAGAGGCTTGTTCTTCCTGACTTCTGGTATTTAGCTCCTCCCTGCTTTCCTGCTCTTTTTCAGGTCCTAGGTATTGGTCACAAAATTCCTGTGCTTTATCTAACAAGTCAATCTTATATTTCTTGTCCTGCCAAGATATTAGAAGTCCCTCTGGCATGAGCCATCTGAATGCTATTCCATTCTTAATCAATTGAGATGATAAGAACTGATAATTTATTCTTTGCTCTCTGGCCCTCCTAGGTATTTGTTTCAGAGTCACTACTTCATGTCCTTTATATACTAGTGGCTCATCTCTGGTATTTCTGTAGAGCAGGTCTCGTGTTGTCTTTCTTGCAAAATGGATATGGACCTAATGGAGTAGTTTATGTCTATGCGCATAGTGTGTGTACTCCCCGTAGACCTCATCGATGTCATTGCAGACCTCTTGTTTATTTTTCTGAAGGGCCGCTATCAAATCTTTCATTATTGATCGTACATCTTCCTTTCTATCCTGAATGACATTTTGGAATCTGAGGAAGAATGCTGCTTTCTTCAATTCCATGTGGACCACCGAATCCCGGAATTCACAATATAATACTTTCCAGTTCTGTTCTGATTCCACTAGTTTTTTCCCCACCAGATCTGTTCTGGCCTCTGTTGTGGTTAGCTTCTGTTCATTCTTCACCATCACCTCTTGCATCATTCCAATTTTGTTGTCTAGTTTCTGTATGTCATTTTTCACTTGTCCTATTTCACTCTTCATTCTAATTTCAGATCCTCATGGTTCCTTGCTATCAGTTCCTGGGTCCTCACCATCATCTCTTGAATCATGGATAACATTGTCTGTACCATCTGTAGTGTTAGAGCAGGGCCTGGCTTTTCTGCTACTAACATTGTGTCTAGGGAGCTCTGTCTCAAAGGGGATGATATCATTGCTGTTCCTTTCTTCCCTGTTTTTACTGTTGTAGTTGTCATTGCCATTTTTACTACCTGTAGAAGGGACCTCCAATCCACCATAAATTATCACTATTATTTGATCCTTTTCTATCAAGCTGTATAATAGTAATATCTTTCCTATCTAATATTTAATATGTGTGTTGTTAGTTATTATTCTTCTATTTTAGGGACACTGCCTCAAATCTAAGTTCTATTCTTGTTCAATATTCAATATTCTGATGTAGTAGTTAAGTATATTAAGAATAAATTCTACAAATATTATTTAGATAGTTTCCAAAATCCTTTTACTCTTTACTCTGTTGAGGACTCATATCTCAAAATGTCTTCTTTCAGAAGTGCATAGTCACAGTTTTTTTTCCTTCTGTCTGCCCTTAGTGCTGTAGCATTTTCACAGTCTCAAATAATCTTTCCACTCAATAGTCCCAGACAAACCAAATCTTCCCTCCTTTCACTCTACGATTGCTACGATTGTCTATAATTAATTCAAAAATCCTTCAGTTCTCTTTCTCTGATATTTCAAAATGTCCTCTCTTAGATATGCACAGTCAGTAAAGGTTTTCTCTCTTCTTCACTTCTCCACCATTCTAGTTGTTTACAATCACTTTTTTTCCTCGCTATTCACCAGAATAATATAGTTCCACCATCTATATCTATAATCAAGAAAAACAATGTACTGTCTTGTCTTTCTTCCCCTCAGCTTTCACCATTTTATTATTCAATATACAGCTCAGTCTCTCGATCCCCAATCAACACTCCTACCAGTACTTTTGCCTCTTGTTGACACCACATGGTTTGGAGCCTCCCTTTTCTCCTGTTTTCATCAGATATCCTGGTACTCTTCCTTAATCGCACTTTCCCACCACTCAACTTGTTGTTTTCCACTTTCTGCTTCCCTCTTTAGACAGCTAGGCAGCCACATCTCTGATTCCAATCATCACAATCTTCCTCTTCCACTGCCAGTTTTCGGGGCTTCTCCTTGCAGTCTCTGGGATCGTGGCACTTCCCCAAGACCTCCATATCTTCCCCTTTTCCCTGTCATCCCCTCCAGGGTCTGACTCACTCCTAGGAGCCACTAGGCATGGAACTTCAGATTTTTCAGAGCGGCAATCTGCTCCTCTGCTCCGCGTCGACGTGGTGCCTCAACTGGAAGTCCCCTCTCTTTGTTCATCTTAAAAAGCTAAGAAATCAATTCTCAACAAATGAACCAGCAAACATATGGAAAACTTTTAAAAATATCACCAGTTACAGCAAACCTTTCCATGCTGAAGGAAATCCACAACTGGCAGATGACCTGAATGTGTTTTACTATAGGTTTGAGAGGAAACTACTGCCACCTATCTCCACAATCCCCATCTCAAACACACTAATAACAGCCAAACCTCCTACAACCTACCCCATCCCATTGGGCCTATCATCTCTGATGATTACATAGAATGAAGTGCAAGGTCTATTTCACAGACAAAAGCCAGAAAAAGCACTAGGCCCAGACAAGATAACTCCTTCTTGCTTAAGTTTGTGATGACCAACTTGGCCCCATCTTCACCTGCATCTTTAATAAATTACTACAGATGTGCTATTCTTGCTTCAAACACCTTACTATCATCCCAATGCCGAAGAAACCCTCCATCAAGGAACTGAATTATTTCAGACTGATTGCTGTAACATCTGTAGTTATGAAAACCTCTGAAAGGCTAGTCCTGGTCCAGTGGTGGGATTCAAATTTTTTTACTACTGGTTCTGTGGGTGTGGCCTGGTGGGCGTGGCAGGGGAAGGATACTGTAAAATCTCCAGTCAGAGGTGGTATTTGCCGGTTCTCTGAACTACTCAAACTTTCTGCTACAGGTTCTCCAGAATTGGTCAGAACCTGCTAAATACCACCTCTATGTGGTCCACCTGAAAATCATCATGGATAGACCCTTACAATTTGCCTACCAAGGAAATAGATCGCAGATGATGCTGTTAATATGACTCTGTACTACATCCTAGACTCTTCTTAAAAACATCCAGAGATGGAGCATCACAATTTGTGAAGGCAAGCTGTTCCACTGGTTAATTGTCCTCACTGTTAGGAAGTTTCTCCTTAATTCCAGGCTGCTTCTCCCACTTCCCTCTCATTCCTCAGCTCTATTTTTATTGCTTTATGAACCATATTTTTCTGTGTTTTGTTCTAGATAGATGAGGGAAGGTGAGAGTCAGTAACATAGCTTGAGAGAAGCAATGGAACTTCTATGCAGTACAGATAAATATCCTAACTTTAAAAGACAGCGGGGGCTTGGTTTTCTGAATTCTTTCTAGTCCCTTTACCATCAGTGGCTATAGAAGGTAGCTCTATTTTGTTCTGTGTAGATACAAATTCAAAATGTTGCTTTGGTGTGTGTGTGTGTGTGTGTGTGTTCCTATGAAGTAATCAGGTTTGGTCCATGTTTATGTGTGGTCTCTATGTATTCCTGTTGTACACTAATGTTGTATTTGTTATTTAGCTGTATATGTGCATAGCGGGAAGCATTCGATAGACTGCCTGTATCATCATCATCATCATCATCATCATCATCATCATTTTATATTCTGCCTTTCAAAAACTCAAGGCAAGAAACATAGTGCTTACCCACTCCCACAACATACCCATGTGGCAAGCTGGGCTGAGAACAAGACTATGTCAATAGCTATTGTCATTTAGGGTGCACTGAAATTTTGGCCTCCCCATTGCTTATCAAACACTGTCCACTGTTTCTATTAGGGACCCCATGATCAGGATTCCCAGTAGAAGCTAGGCTTAAACTGTGGCACAGCAGCCTTTGCCTCTTCCATAATCTTGCAGTGGGTTCTTTTACAGCTGCTGGCTGGATCTGTCCCACATTTAACACACTCTCTCTCTCTCTCTCTCTCTCTCTCCCTCCCTCCCTCCCTCTCTTCTCCTGCAAATGGACAGCAATAGCACTTAGACTTATATACCACTTCATATTGCTGATAATTTGGGTCCTCATTTTTCCAACCTCAGAAGTATGAAAGGCTGAGTCAACCTTGAGCTAGTAGAACTCCTCCTGGCAATACTGCTTTCTAACCATTGAGTCCCCACAGCTGCTGCCCAAATAGCCTGAAGGAAGAAAACTGACTAAAATTGTGAACAACATGACTGAGCATCGACGTTGCACCCTGTGCTATTAAATGCTGGGTTGAGGATAGGTAGGACCATCGATGAATGGCGTCAAAGGTTGTTATCAAGGTTGTTGCGGTGGGGAAACGGATTGAAAACTGAAATGGAAGCTCTACAGCAGAAAAAAAGCTGCGAGTGGAAGTGGCCTTTGGGGTGGCAGAGAGGATGTCCCACGCATGAAAGATGAAGCAAGGGATAAGATTTGTCTTCCCGGAAAGAAACCCCGCGCCAGACGCTTCAGTTTGGGGTGGGGGGAGTGAAGACAGATCCTACAATGACGAAATCGGGGGAACTCCTTCCTAACGGTAGGGAATCCTGGGCGGCGACTTAAGCGAGGGAGTGAACTGCAACCTGGATGGTGATCCAGCGGAATTAGAGATTCCGAGGAGTTGCCCATTGGTTGCTGAGAGCGAAGTGGGCGGGGGCGGGGGGGGGGCGCCCGCCCCGGCTGAGCTGATAGTTTAAGCCCAAAGGAAGGAAAAGTGGGAATTGTTACTGTTGCCGCTGCCTCTGCTGTTTTTGGAGCTCTCCGCTTCCACCACCACCCCCTCCACGCGCACACTCGCCTCATCTCTCGACAGCGTCCGCCTCGCCTCCACCACCTCTCCGCTGCTTCCTTTTCTGGCGGCCAGCCTCGTTAGCGCTTCCTTAATGGAAACCTACAGCCGTCGCCGCAGCAGACCCATGCAACCTCATTTCCCTCCTCGGCCATTCATCTAAGCCCATGCCATGTTGCTGCCCTTTCTCCCGGCACTGTTGGCCATTTTCGTTCCATCCTTTCCCTCCCGAGGCTGCTCTCCCCCGGCTTCTTCAGAGTCTGGGCGAAAAGAACTGACAAGACTTACTTTGCCGCCTCTCAACTCCTCTTCCTCCCCCAAGTCCTTTGAGGATGGGGGCACGTTTCCGACAGGCTTTGAGGAAGGGGGAGGAGAGGCCACCAAGGCGGCGGCGGCGGCGGCTGTAACTACTCTTTCACCTGAGTCTCCCCGACCCGCGCCCCAGCAGGAGCAGCAGCCCCGCGAGGAGCCGGCGTGCAACATAAGCGTGCAGAGACAGATGCTGAGTTCATTGCTGGTGCACTGGAGCCCGTTGGGCTTCCAGTGTGACCTCGTGCTCTACTCCACCAGTGGTCCCGGCGGGCGAGCCTTTTTCTCGGCCTCCTTTCATCGCGTTGGGCCGCCACTGCTCATCGAGCATCTTGGGCTAGCACCTGGCGGCATACAGCAGGACCTCCGCCTATGCGTGGGCTGCAGCTGGGCTCGAGGTAGGCGCGTCGGCCGCCTTCGCCCGGGCGTCTCCAAACCAGCGTCGTCGTCTTCTCCTTCGGCTGCACTCTACTCCTGGTCCACTCCGGACCAAGGACAGTCTTGGCAGCAAGGGGAACGGCTCCACTTCTGCTGTCTGGATTTCAGCTTGGAGGATCTCAAGGGAGATCCAGGCTGGAGGATGAATCGCAAGCCCATCGAGTCCACCCTGGTGGCCTGTTTCATGACTCTGGTCATCATCGTGTGGAGCGTGGCCGCCCTCATTTGGCCGGTGCCCATCATCGCCGGCTTTTTGCCTAACGGCATGGAGCAGCGGAGGAGTGCCCCCACCTCGACATCTGGAACAACTGCATCGAAATGACCGCCTACCTCCCGTATCTGGTTCGATGTCACCTGAGTCATATAGTTGAGGGGCTCCGGATTGAGAATCTTGCTATAAATTAATTATTTTTTGTAATTTAAAAGGAATCTATTTTGTAAATTATTATGTTAAAGCCATCTTCTTGATGTTGGATGTAGAAGGCTGGAGTTAGGTAGAAATCTTCAAACTAGATTGAAGAACCTATACCCGCTTCTCGTTAATTTATACCTGCTTCTAGTTAGTTTATAGGTATATTTATAATGTGCTCAAATTCATATCTAATGAAATGACCAAAAGCTGTGTATTTGCTTTATATATTAAAAATAAACTCTTTTAAGTCAATATTTTAGTAGCAATGCACACAGAAATCCAGTGCATTTTGCAGTAGTTATAAGTTATTTGTATACAAATACAATTTGTCTTTGCAAATGTAAATTTACTAAGAAACTTTTTGGCAGTACTTAAATTTGCTAACATAGTATTTGATGGATCTGAATTTTATAATTGTGTGTGTGTATTGTTGGTTATTAGGGATACTGTGTGATTTCTTATATAAATATGTTCAAATATTAATACAGATTGTCTTTGCTGAAATGTCCAGGCTTTGCATGGTATTTTTCTATCAAAGTGATTTTGCAAGTACAAATCAAATAAAGTAAGAAGCAGAGCATTGGGGCTCTCTTTACCCTTAACATTCAATATAAAACACATTGTGGAATGTTGGATAGTCATTCTTTTATTTTTCTGATTTGGTAAGTCAAATCTTTGAATAGATTGATAAAGCTGCCTTCTCCAACTTAATATGGCAAAAAATTCAACAGTTGCCGCATATCTAGGGGATGCCACAAGGATAAGGTTGTCTAATTTCTGATGTAATCTGTTTTATCTCCTTTTTATAGTAACAAGAATTCTACCATTAATAGGTTGCAGATAGAGAGTACGTTGTATGCAGAACCCATGGTGGTATGTAATTTATAATAAGTATAGTTAGCCTAACACCCTCTACCCCATTTGTTAAAAACCCCTGTGAGATAACTGCCAACTAAATGTACATTCAGTAAGATTCTGCTAATTCAGAATATTAATTCTAAGTTAAATTTGGAAAATTAGGGTTCAACCTGGATAAATTAAAAAATAGTCACACATTGTATAATTTAATTTATAGCAACTTCCTGCACATTATTCTGAAATTGTTCAGAATAATCATTTTTTTCTAATTGCTTCCTAGTCAAATCAGAGAAAATTATGGAGAGAAGTGTGCAGATATATTTGCTTGTCTTCTGATTTGCACCATAATGTTAATATGAACCTTTTTGAATATGACAAGTGTGCTTTGGAACTGCAATAGTTGAATTAGGGGTTTGGACTCTCAAGAGGAAAAACTGAAAGGGCAATTTGGTTTTGCCCTATATATTCTTAAAATATGTAGAGTGAGATATATTCCTATTTAATTACATTATAATATTCAAGGTCCTCTATGAAAACTATGTATTCTTTCATCAATAGTGTTAGGTAATGGAAGACAGCCAAATTCAGCAAATAAACTGCGACAAATTTACATTATATTGTAAAGAAATTAAATCTTGTAATTTAGTTTAATTATTTTCATGGAATGGCATTATTTTATAACATATTTTCTCTGTGGGGTAAAACAAGCAGCTAGATGATATGCTAAAGATTTCATTTGACTTTATGAGATTTCAGTAGAAATGTTTTAAAGATTCAGCTGTAAGACTGTAATCTGAATTATATTTGTTAAAATAAACATCATATAATAAAACAACAGTTATTTCTAACGATTTACAGCATCAGGTTGCATGCAAATTAACTTTCTTTTTGAAGTTGAATATTATTTGATTTACAAAAAGGGTGTTTTGCATTATTTTCTGGCAACTTCTCAAGAACATGAATTCATATCTTGCTTGAGCTAAAAGTACTCTGAGATGTATATTTAGAAAAATGTTGGTTGTATCGAGATATGAGGTGAGTGTGCACATAGGGGCGAAGAGCAGAGAGAGCCAGAAAAAGCAGTGGTGATGGCAACAGTTCCTACTTTTCCTTCCCTTTGGCTTCAACTCTCAAACAGAGAGGTCCTGCCCACTTCGCTTTCAGCAACCAATAATAAATTTGAATAGTTAAGATTTTGGCAAAGTTAATATCAGCTAATATCTGATTTCATTTAAAATTTCCTTGGCCTTTGAATTTACATTTAGAAATCAAGATGATATCCAATTTTTGGATGATACTTAATCTTTCAATGAAAGAACCAGTTTTCAAACTAGTGAAACATTTTTAAAAACCATGGAAAATGGGCAGAAAAAATGCCAATATTACTAAGTAAATATTGAAACAAAAAATAAATAAAAATAGAAAATAAGTTGTGTTAAAATATGGTATGAGAAAAGCAGCTGTTTTTTTAACATTACACAATAATTTAGAACAATGAAAATACTACTTAATATTAAAATCTGATGAGAATAGAATAGAAGCTGAAAGGGACTTTGGAGGTCGTCTAGTCCAGCCCCCTGCTTAAGCCGTTCTTCATTTGGTTTAGTCTCCAGGCCTTTAATTGTCTTAGTTCTGAACTTTTTCCAAAGTCTCAACATCTTTTTTGTAGTATGGTGATCAAAATTGGTTGCAGTAGTGTAAGTGAAAGTATTACCCTAGACCAGGAGTGTCAAACTCAATTTCATTGAGAGCTGCATCAGGGTTGTGTTTGACCTTGGGGAACTGGGTTGGGTATGGCTGGTGTGGGCATCGCCAGCTTGACATCACTCGTGTTGGGGGCACCGGTGGTGGCCAAGTGCTAAGACAGGAGTTCCCTCTCATTATAATCTTCTTTCCTTCCTTCCTTTCCTCCCTTCCTCCTTCCCTCTTCATTCTCTTTTCTTCTTCTGTTTTCTTCCTTGCTCTCTTCCCATCTTTCCTTCTTTTTCTTTGTCTTTTCTCTTTCCTTTTCTCCTTTCCTGTCACTTCTTGGATGCTCAAATGCATTTCTCTTTTTATTTGTTTTTAGTTTGTTTTTCTAGTCCTCTGCCAGTGAAAACAGAGCCCAGTGTGTAGCCCTCCCGAGCTCCATTTTCACTGGCAGAGGCACCACAGGCCTTTACTGCTTCCAGGGTGGCTCTGCGGGCCAGATCTAAGTACCCTGCAGGCCCATGGACCTTGAGTTTGACACCCCTGCCCCAGACTGTCCTAGACTGTGAACATTATTAGTTACTGAGCTCTCTGTTCAATAACAGGTGCCTGTGAACATCAGTCACTGGGGGAATTTTCATTAGAAGGTTTGTTGCTTCAGAGATAGTGGAAATAGGATACTGGTATAAAAGGAAATACTGTAGTAAATAGTTTTATGGATTGAATATCACTGCTGTTCTTTCACTATTTAGAACGCTGTTCTAAATCAAATGTCCTGATGCTGCTTGGGAAGTCACAGCCTAACTGCTGCTATCAGGACAGGGAAGGCTATTTTAGAGGTTAATATTTGTTACTTAAATTATTTAAGATTTTTACAGTGTTCTGAAGCTATTTCAAATTAGAAGTTACCACATTTTACAAAGCCATATATACAAGGAATCTAGATTTAGATTCTCTTACATGAAAAATAGTTATTTAACTATCATGAAGAATACTTTTGCATGAATCTGTTTTAATGTCAGCATATTTTTCTTCTACCATTAGATAACATTTGGATGTAATTCCTGCTATAAGTGCTTACTGAACCATACCTGCCAAATTACACATCTTTTGAAAGATTTCCCTTTGTAAAGACAAATTACATTTTATTCAGTGAAAGCAAGGCATTCCTGGAAAAACTGTCTTTCAGGTTATTGAACTTTTGGAGATTGCTAGGTAGTGTGAAGATGGAAGACAAAAAGAATGCTAAAAGCATATCCCAGCAAAGAACAATAAGAACTGCCATATTTCATTTTTTAAAAAGAATATAGATTTAGAGAGAAAAGACATAAAAGAACAGATTGTGGGAAAAGCAGAAAACACTTCAAGACAATTTTTAAGAGCAAATGAGTGTTTCTTCAATGCATGAGCCAAATACCACTGAAGCTGCTTTAAAGTTTTAGCAACTCTAAATTTTCACCAAAGGTCAGAATAGCAAACTGCACTGTTTTGTGCACATTCATATTTGAGTACTGATAAAGACTGCAGATGGAAGAAGTAAAGGTGGAAATTTTATGTTTCTTTTTTTACTTTTTTAAAACCTTTTTCTTCTGAGTAGACCCAAAATAAGGATGCTGTATGAAAAGCAGACTGAACCAGGAATAGTATATGCTGACTATCAGAGATAATGTCAGCCTTGAAGCTGGTCCGGCTGTGGGTTTTTTTCCCCCCTCTTTCCTGTTCTGTAGTTTCCTAATAGGGGTTTTTTCACGTGGCTTCAGGATTGTCAAAAGCTTGGAGCTGAAGGAGGGCATGTAACTAAAACAAACTAGTTCATTCCTGGGTCAAGGGCATTCCAACTGTCAGCTAGCTGGAGGTGAAGGAAAGAGTTGCCGGGTAACCAGCCGGTGCCAGATTGGACCATGTGATTTATTGTTTTTGGGGAAAGTGAAACTTGGTTTTATTGAGATGGAAAGCCTGGGAAATTTTAGAGTTGGCTTTCCACCACCAGTTAATGCCAAGATGATGTCTTCTAAATAAAAACTGTTCTTTCAGAATCTGCTTCAAAGTTCTGTTTTGAAATGGGGTCAATGCTTGGAAGGCTGACAGGTAAAGCATATACCATTTGACAGAAGAATCCTGATTATATAACACCATATGTGTAAATTGCAGGGTACCTTTCCCAAACACTGACATTTCAGGGGTCTCCATCCTCCCACCCCCTCTGCATAAATTCTAGGGTTTCTGGGAGAATTGTTAAAATACTTAAAAGATCAGCACCTATTCTTGAATGGGGAGATGCTTTTTCTTTCCACATTTTTTCTGAATTTGATAAGCTAGCATTTCCTCCTTTCCCAGAACTAAACTTTTAAACACATGACTCCAATTTTTCCTTATTTCCTTTATTATCCCCAAGCAGCTTTGAAGTGGCAAATTTGGTACTGTACAGATCTAAGCTTAGAATAATAGAAGAGAAAGGATTTTCATTTCACACATACACACTTGTTAGCTCAGTTTACTTCCCACTTAGTTGTCTTCATTAAAATGAAAAATCTTTCAAATATAAATGTGTGCATTGTGTACACACAAACACACAAAAGCTAGCAATCAGTAGCCAATAGGAAAAGAAACAAATACATTGCTCAAAAAAAAGGGAACACAAAAATAAGACATCCTAGATCTGAATGAATGAAATATTCTTATTAAATATTTTGTTCATTACATAGTTGAATATGCTGACAACAAAATCACACAAAAATTATCAATGGAAATCAAATTTAGCAACCCATGGAGGTCTGGATTTGAAGTTACACTCAAAATTAAAGTG